ATTCAAAGTTACCGGCATGTCTTGAAATGTTTCTGAGATTTCCCGAGGTCGCAACCTTGAACTTTGACCCAAGGTAATGGTCTTGAACGCTGGGCTATAGTTATGATCTTGGATCTTGAACCAAAGCCATGGCCCCGAGTTTTGATCATTACTCGAAGGTGACCTTGGGATGGGATTTTCCCGGTTTGCCTAGCTAAGGATTGCGGCCCTGTTTGTTGTTCAAGGTCGTGGTCTTGGTACCGTAACTAAGGCGTGACGTTATTGTAATCTGTAATATGAGTGCGTACACAGCAAAACCAAAAGCGTACCATACGTTAATAAGGTAAGCAATAAACAAGGCCAATCCTTATCTCAGAAACGAGGAAAATCTCAAGGTCACGAACTTATGACGTAATCAATTGTGCCTTATTTCGATATTCTATATTTTAGTTTATTTTAAATATTGCTCATTATCACGAATTATGATTGGTTTTGCAGTTGAAGGGTTAGATGAAAGAGCAGTTCCTTCTGAATCTCCCCTTGTGGCTTGAGCACCCAAAACCACGGTATCGGCGCACTTATCGGAACAGAACACGTACAAAACTATGAATTTAGTGTCAGGGCGATACGAGGATGCCGTGGTTTACTATTATGTTGAACCACCAACGGAAAATTTTCTTTCTGGGAAACAAAAGGTGCACAACACTTGGGGATTGGCGCAAAAATCAGCACAAAAGTATACATAGGTTTCAAGTCGCTCCGATTAGAAGGGGTGCTGCGTTAAGTGTAACCCCCTTTAGAAATTGTGAATTACTCCGACAAGAAAGGCGCACAAATCCTGAGAATTTGAGCACAAATCAGCACAAAACAAGCAGAAAACCATGACATAGGGTTGAGGCCACATGTGTGATGGTGTTCCAGAATTAAGTTGAACCCCCAATATAAATTTTTGATTTTCTCGTGAACGAGAAGCGCACAAAATGCGGGGATTGGCGCACAAATGAGCATAAAATGAGCAAGATATTTGAGAGATGTAAGAAATTAAGGTGCTAATTTAACCCAGCCATCTAAGAATCATAGGAAATAATCTAGCGAAAGTCCGAAATCGATACATGACTTAAGGAAGCAAATGTGTTGATTTTTATTTTATTGAGTACACAGCGTTTGCTATTCCTTATTCACTCCAAGTTCTATAACTTTTCTTCCTGTTGATCCAGCTTCCTAAAAATCAATAGCGTCCTACCTTAATGTCCAAAATACCCGTACGCCAACCGGGGGTTGGAACCCATATGAAATAAAGGTTCCGAAATCATTTTTTAAGGGTTTCGGTACCGGTTCCGGTTCTGTGGCTCCAGTAAATTGCGGTTTCGGTTCCGGTTCCAGATTTTTTTTCGGTTTTTAAGGGTTCCAACATAAATAAATAAAATTACTATTACAAGATTTTATTTTTGATAGGGGATGAAAACGGATATGATGTGTACTTTCCAGAAGGTTTGACTCTAGGATTCTCTAGATGCTAAAAATAAATAAATAAATAAATAAATGCTTTCCGTTTGCTACCTAGGTATATAAGCAAATTGAATAATGTTAAATCTATGAAAAAAAAGACCAACACTTCAGAAGGAAATTTTAAGAGCAATAATATAACACGCATTTGCCTTTCGCAAACCGCAACGTGTCGGCCTACCTACAAGAGAGAGGGAACCGAAAAATACTGGTTCTTTGGCACTAATAATAACTGTAACTGCCCGTATCGGTTCCGGTTTTCATAACTTTTAAATAACGGTTCCGGTTCCAAGTCAGAAGTTTATAAATGCAATCGGTTTCGGTTCTTTTCGGTTGCGGTTCGAACCCCTGACGCCAACATGATCGACCACTTTTAAAAAGCGGACGGATTGACGGACGGATAACAATACAAAACTATACAGGATCTTTAATAATTAGGTACCTACTATGCTCACTCCACAAGAGTAGGTGAAATAGAACAGCATCAGCTCTCAGGCACTATCTAATAAAGGCACATACAGCAGTTTCATAAATACAATAAGCAAATAAGGCAACTTTTTTACCCGCAAAAAAGAATGAATTTTCCCATTTTTCCCCATAAAACACCCTCCGGAGGACGGACGGTAAGAGTCACGCGGACGCCGCCGCGGCCCGGGGGGGGGGGTACCGAGGACGGGCGCGTCGAACCGTGTAGGGTAGAATTTTTTTCGCCCCCCCCCGCGGGGGGGCTGCCGTAAGACGTGAAAAAAACCCGAAAAAACACCTTTTCGGACTTGGAGGAAAAGTTATTCGACCTACGGGCTCGGTACTTTCGGAATCCGTAGCCGTTATAGGTGGCCACTTTTATAATTTTTTTCGATCCGCCTCGACCACCGAGGGAGGTGGGAGTAGGATCCACACTAAACCTAAACTATCCTAACCTCGCCGCCGAGACCTTTCCGACGATACCTCTCATACCCTCCTACGACTTTCCGTTACCGAGATTCGCATTTTGGCGATGCCTGGCGACGTCACCCGGCGCCACCGTCGCGAACCTTCCAAATTGTATCCTTTCCTTATCGACAACAAACGGGTCGCGAAACGTCAATAAAAAAAATTTGGCCACAAATGGTTATATTTATATATACTCAGTTTGTATATATACACTCCCGTATCTACTCGTACGCGATCGATCTCCGAAATTATAAATATAACACGGGAAAATTTTCGACCGCGTCTTCAGTAGGCGTCGGGCGTCAGCCTGTGGCCGAAGAGGGGGGCCAGTGTCGCTCGGGAGGCGGGGGTGTGCCTTTTTTGCCACGTCCACGCGCACGGATGCGTTTTAAAGGGCCGCGCATCTCTTAATATCTCCCTTATTTACCGGCCGATCTGGACCAAATTTGAACTGTAGCTGCACCCGGTCGGGGGCTCGAAACGGGATTTTCAATTTTTTTCCATCCCCACCTCTTTTCGAGATATCGACGCATCTCTGTTGTCTTTCAACCTACGACCTCGATACTTCGGAATCACGCGTTTCGCGACATTTCTCGACGATCTACGCAAAAACTGTTTTTTGGATTTTTTATCAAAAACTTAAATCGCGATATCTCGAGAACGAAACGTCGTAGATAGGGGTTCCTGGGTGTCTTTAGAAAGTTCTCGACCTTATCTAACCGATGGGAGGGTCGAAATTTGGAAACTGAGATACAAGCTCGGAAATGACGGAATCGAATTGCCCTCGGAATTGCCCGGGTCCCCAAACCTCTCAATACCAAATTTCATCGAGATCGGTCGGTAAACAACTGAGATATAGCCATTTGTAATTTGACATCACCGAAAACACTTAAAACGCGATATCTCGAGAAGGGTACGTCGTAGATGGGGCTTTATGGGTATCTTTGGAAAGCTCTCGATGTAATCTAACCGATGGGATGGTCAAAATTTCGGAATGGACATAAAAGTACCGGAATGGTGGGAACGGCTGACTTCATTTCTCCAACCTCTTAATACCTAATTTGAACGAAATCGGACGGTAAACAACGGAGATATAGCGATTTGTAATTTGACACCACAAAAACACTTAAATCATGATATCTCGAAAACGTAACGTAGTAGGTAGTGGTTCATGGGTGTCTTTAGAAATCTCTCTATCTAACCTAACTGATGAGAGGACAAATTTTGAAATGCAAAAGGAAACCAATTAAAAGACATTCGTGCGAATGAACGATTAGGTTAAGTTAGAGTTAGGTTAGGTTAGGTTAGGTTAGGTTCAAACTCAAGTTCCAGTTCAAGTTAAAAGTCAAAAGTAAATCTCGATTTAGCTCAACAGCACATCCCTACCTAACCTAACCTAACTGCACATTTCAACCTAACCTAACAGCCGTCTCTTTTAAAAAACAAACAAAATACATACGCAGAAAGTCATACCTACTACGAATGCGCAAAAATCAACTTTCTTATTTATATCAATAAATGATAAAAAATTGGGAAACAGTTAAAACAGAATCGTATGTTACCTATAGCATGGAACGAAACGAAATAGCACACAATATCCAAAATCCAATAGGTTTATATTACAACGAAAACATACAAACACAAACGTAAAAAATGCCCCATTTTCAGGGGAATTAGGCGGAAATCAACTCACGCTAGCGAAGTCTTAAAATGCGTAGCATTTTTACAAACACATACGCCGAGTTTGACTAAAAAAAAAGACTATCGATATATTGGTGCTTTTTTGAGCCGAATCAAAATTCTTTTCCTTTTTTTTCGCATTTTATAAAATTCCAACGTGACTTAAAAACAACCCAAACTACAATCGCACAACGGTCGAGCTAAAAAAAAATTTACAAACGGTAAACCACAAAAAACGGCGTGTGATAACAAAACGCCGTGATCGGTAGGAGCGAGCGACGCGAGCTCCAATCCGATCTAGTTAATATACTATAAGGAATCAATTTTTAATTTATTGATTGAGTCGGATTATTGTCAATATAGCAAATAACACAAATATTAAATTTGAATTTGAACAATCAAATCTTAACCATTCAGATTTTAGCATGAAAAGTTGAAAAAGAGCTAATAAATAGAGCTGATTTTCTGTTTCAAGGGTCTCTTGGCTCAAAGACCAGGCTGCAGTTTCAATTATGGGAAAGTGCAACGCATAAGGCCAAACCTATGTCGAAAGTAAAGGGTGAACATCTTTGGTGGGAATAAACAACGGTCCGTAACGTTTCATGGTTTAAATTCTGAGCTTATGGCGACTGATTGCTTTACAAACCAAACGGGTTCGTTTTTTGATGTTGGGATTATTCAGAATTTGAAGGTTGCTGAAATCTTTAAGTTTTAAAACCAAATGGTTGTTAATAAACGATTTCCATGCTCAAATATTGTCCTGGTATGATGGAACAAGCTTTAAGTCTTTGATGAATACAGTGTATTTATCAAAGCTCGAAAGTTAGAAGAGAGGCATTGAACCATGATCTTTATATGTATGAACAGTTAAAAATTGTGTAAAAACAATATTGCTTACTCACATCTACTTTGCCGATCGGTCAGTTTATCACTAAGCAAGTTTTGGTACCAATTTTGATTCGCTCTTCGACTGTTTCTGCTCAAATGCATAAGATACTTATTTCTGGTCGTATTTCCGTAATTATCACACCTCGCAATCGCTACACTAATTATTATTAAGTATAGTATCTGTTGCCTATGCACCATTTTAATTTACGGGTACAGCCGATGAGCGCACACACACACGTAGCTATCCCTCTGCGTGAATTATTGACCACGTTTTGGTAAAGCGAGAAACTTTATAACTTTTCAGCATGTCACATAACCGTCACAGTGCGATGTTGTTTAACGATCTGGAAAGTCGATTGTTTGAAGAACAGAAACTGTAACGATTAGTGTATTATTTTTCATGTATTTTAATGGTAGTTGGAGTTACTACACTGTATTGCACCACGCAGCAGCTTTCGTTTCTGTGACTAAATTTTAGCGTTGCGGAAACCTCTTGTCCAGATAAAATCTTCATCCCTGTGGTAGGTATAGGTCCTTTACAACGCACTTTATATAAAAGATCTAAAGCTAGAAAATGATTACCCCAACTAACGGCGGTGCTCAACTTTAACAAGACTCGAAGAACCTGATGGCAAACACAAAAGCTTAAGCAGAAACGGTTAGACTAACAAAATGCGCACATTATTCTGATGTTTACAATATGCGATACGTTTGCTTTTACTGAAAGCATCTTTGACCAAATTTTAAAGAAATATCCCTATTAATAAGAAAGTTGGCATTGGACAGTCTGCTCATGCGCACATCTGATTTTCACTATATGCGATATGTTTACTTTTACTAGAAGAATTTGTGGTGAAAATTCTAACAGAATAGATTAATAATTAATCCATCTAAGTATTTCCGTTGTAATCCACTAGTATAAATGTGAATTATTCTTGTAGTATAGTTTTTTTACTAGAGGCAATCCAAGTGTTCTAGATTTCTTATAACAATAGTTCTTGGTTTTGCCGCCCGAGGTCGTGCAGAGGTTTTTCTAATTTTTTTCATTAGAGGCCAATTTTTAGTTACATTACACTAGTCACTAGGGGTTCCAGAAAATTCATAAACTCTGGTTTATGTGGTTTTTAAGCGTTTTAGATTATATTGTAAAAAAGCGCCCGTTTTGCTACCAGACCGCATTACATATAAATGCACACAAACCGTAACTTATGGACATATTTATTTTATTTTTTTTCTAGTTGGAAATAGTGCACCTAGAATTATTTGGTTTAGTCTGTTGCGCACGTATTTCAACCGCTGATGGTATAAACAAGATACCGTATATAATTAACCAGTTTCGTAACCGTTCCCGTGGCAATACTTAAATTTCAGCATCTCAAAGATTGAAAGATGAGAGAAAATTAATATTTTATGATTTCAGTTTCGTTTAATAACTGGTCGCCGATTTTATGTTTGCAGTTGTAACGTTATTTTCTTACTATTGATATTTCAGATATAAATTCCGGCGAAGTATCTTTTTGATTTGTGTTCTTATTTAAAATATTACGCCATCTAGGTATTCCCTTTGTAATCCACTAAGATGTAAGTTGTTCCTGTAGTAAACTTGTTCCAAGTGTTATAGATTTCTTAATACAGTAGTTCCTGGTTTTGCCGCCCGAGGTCATGCAGAGGTTTTTTTAAATTCTTTTCCGCGCATGCGCTTTTTTGTACAAAACCACATTCCACAATTACTTGTAAGAAGATGTACACGCTACATTGGTTGCTTGACATTTCTGTCTACCTTTTGGGATCTATTGTGGCTCTATAAGTTTAGTAAAATTTTTCTTTTGTAATTTTGTTTTCGACATTTCGCTGAAGCGGATAAGGCCGTTTTCGGTATGTACCAAAAATTATGCATTACCCTTGGCTTTGAATAATCATTTTGTCGGCATCTTAGTTCTGGCTTACTCCTTTCTTCATTATTACCTGCTTGATTTGTTGTTTTTTACATCGAAAACACCAGAATTTTGGTTTCTCTCAATAACGCGCAAGAAAAATTCATTGGGGTGGTCCAGCGACATTTTATCAATTCATGCACGCGATAGATGAGTTTCTACATTAACGGCAGACGCCACCGCCATTTCAGTTAAACCAAACCTGATGTTTACGTGGACCTACACTTCGATAATAATTGTTTCTGAAGGAGTTACTACACTGTACTGCACCACGCAGCAGCTTTCGTTTCTGTGACTAAATTTTAGCGTTGCCTTGTCTAGATAACATGTTCATCCCTATGGTAGATATAAAGGCAAGAGCCGCACATGTCTCGCAAGGAGAGCATTTGACCACATTATTTTGTTTAGTCTAGAATGATGTCCTTTACAACGCACTTTATATAAAAGATCTAAAGGTCGAAAATGATTACCCCAACTAACGGCGGTGATCAACTTTAAAAAGACTTGAAGAACCTGATGGCAAACACAAAAGCTTAAGCAGAAACGGTTAGACTAACAAAATTTGATATAAGGAAATGTGCCCATTATTCTGATGTTTACAATATGCGATACGTTTGCTTTTACTGAAAGCATCTTTGGTCAAATTTTAAAGAAGTATCTCCACTAATAAGAAAGTTGGCATTGGGCAATCTGCACATGCGCACATCTGATTTTTACTATATGCGATATATTTACTTTTACTAGAAGTTGAAAATTCCAACAGGATAGATTAATAATTAATCCATCTAAGTATTCTCTTTGTAATCCACTAGTATAAATGTGAATTATTCTTGTTGTGTTCTTTTATGTACACCACTACAGGCAATCCAAGTGTCTTATAACAATAGTTCTTGGTTTTGCCGCCCGAGGTCGTGCAAAGGTTTTTCTATTTTTTTTCATTAGAGGCCAATTTTTAGTTACTTTACTTGATTCACTCCGAAGAATTTGGTCATACTACCCTTTTTGCATTTTGAATTAATTAGATTGCATTACTGTTGAATATAAATTTAGTTATTTGTGCATCGTAAAGTTTTCTTGGAGTTAATGTCGTTAACAAATCCCTCAGAGGAATCGTGGAAAGTGGGAAAAATTTGAAAAATACATCAGAAATGAATTTCCTACCCCGGGGCAAAAAAAAAGTGTTAGTAGAGGAATGGTATTAGCTATATTAAAGATATCCAGTATCTTGGTTTTCAAGAAAGCGATCGTGATTATCAACGGTATATGCTGAGTATCTAACTTTGGCAATTTCAGCACAGGGGGTGGGGTCTAAGATCTGAATTTAAAAGAGAGTACAAGTGGCACCACGCTCAGAAAGTCCCTGACAGGGCGTGTCCGAGGGCGCTAGACATTTAGACCGTACATTCTGATGCAAAATTAAAAAACACTTTAAGGGAATTACATATTTTATCAGATCGTAGATCCAAGCTATATGCGTCTTGAAAAAGACGAGTGTGTATAAAACTGGAGACGGAAAACGTAAAATAAAGCAAATACAAGAAGCAAAGTGTAAGCTAAAATAACGTGAAGCGTCAACTGTCAAAACGGAATAATTAATAATTATGGCGCGGAATGTATCGCGTTGTTTTGCAGACTTTCTATTGGCCAGCCTGAATTATTTCAAAATTAGTTCGCATATTTTCCGGGGTTTTTCTGAGCATGGTGGCACTGTATCGTGAAAAGCAGTGCGTCGTGTGTAGCTAATAGGGTGCATTTTGTATGGTGAAATCATTTGGAAACTAGAAACAAATTATACACATCAAAAACCATTTGATAAACGATTCAACTTATAAAAAAATTATTTCCTCACAAAAGAATTATTGCAATTGAATATGTGTGTTCGGAAGATAATATTGCCGACATGATGATTAAAATTCTTGGAGAAGAAAATTTTTTTAAGTAAAGAATCAATTAGAAAAATGTAAACATATTTTTTCTAAGCGATTTTACATCACGTACTAATTCACTAATGCAACGTAATCGATAAAGAGTGTTGGATTTTATTTTACTAAGGTTGTAGTTAGTCTGTTGGTTTAATGTGATGTCAGTAATGTCGTATAAAGACTTTTGATTATATTGTTTGTTAATTATTTAATTATTTGAGTAATTAGGAATAGAAGGCCCGGTCACGTTTGGCGTTTGCGGGCTTTGTTCAAGATGAGCACGCACATCTTCTACTACCGCCTCGTTAGCAAACGTTGCGCGACCAGAGGATTTTCCACAAGCAACACTTCCTGTATCGTCAAATCGCTTAACTACATGAAGTGGCGGAGTAAGTTCTAGTAATCAACATGTTCAGGATGTGCCTCTCGAAATTCCTCCATGCACAGGGTAGTCGAATACGTCCAAAGCCCGTTTCCGTCCCGGAAATAGGACTGCCAGCTAAGTAAAATTACTTTTGATTGCGATCCATGGTTAACCGAATACAAAAAGTGTGTATTTGGTTGACCATGTATTATGTATGCACTGCATAACATATAACTGCAATATTACACGCAGGGCAGTGTTACGTAACGGTTTGTTGAGAAAATTATGTTGTCTCCCATTGTATTCTAATTAAAGGTTTCAACGAAAGGAACCGATTTCTACCAACTACTGCCCTTCTTTCTGTCCTCTTATCAGAGTACGAGGTAGAGGGGGGGGGGACTAGTTTTATCCTTGATGGTACTCTAATGAAAGGTCTCAACGAAATGAATTAATTTCTACCAATCATAGCCCTCCTCCTCGACCTCCTATCGTGATCGGGTATATTCCCTTATACCCCAAGAACGGATTGTCGGAAGTGGGTACTCACAAAGGGCGATTGAGACGTCTGCAATGTCCTTGGATCGGCACGCTTAGATGAAGCAGTTAGGTAGGTGTTGGGAAAGATTCCCATGAGGTGAATTGCAACCGTTTAAAGTAAAAGCTTGAGTGATTTTGACGACTCATCAGTATGGTGTAACTTCAATGTTTGGTGGAATTCGAGTTACACTTAGCTCTTTTATGGAGGCTGGAGTTAATCGCAATTTCACACGTGTGAGTAGAATGTCACTTTGATGACCGGCGTTATATATTGCATTATTTTAGGTCTACCAGATAAAGTTCATACCGAATGTAAATTCCGCTTATTCGCACATCGTTCTGGTAGTAATTATTTGCTAATAACCCTCTCCTTAATTAATTAGACCTTACCTCCTCTCATGTTCGCGTAATGAGTCATCGAGCCGGAGACACGTTGTACTGGGTAAGTCAAAATTGCAGTGCCGGACAAGGGACTTAACGGGGTTTAAAGATTAGCCCAGTCTTAGCTACTACTCAGTTGTTGAGCT